TGGTACTACCCTCACGTTGCTTGGTCAGTTAGTCCCGTCTAGCAAATGCTCCAGAACAAGACATATAAGCGAAAAATATTGTTTTCAATTAGATCTTCTTCACGCTTTACTCAAATTTACATGGACTTATATATATAAAATTTTAACCAATGACGGTGATTTAGTGGATCAAATAATAATAGTAATCATGATAATAATAATAATCATAATAATAATAATAATAATAATAATAATGTGGTAAATGTTTTGAACGAAGTTAATAACGATGATTATAATAATAACAAAATATTGTTAATAAGGCTTATATAGGTGATAAGAATAACAAAGTTAGTACACGCATATATGTATATATGCCTGTAGTAAAGGTTGTTAAATATGAAATGTACATTCATAGTACATCTTAAGAGCAACTCTTTCAGACTACTAACCGGTATTCCGATGTCAATCTGTTTTTCTAGTATCTGTTGGCATATGAATTCCATAGTCTCCATAAGTGGTACATTGGTAAACAGTGATGCTACATCGAGGGAAAGCATTTGCTTCCCATTTACATTAATATCATCCACGTTAGCAATAAATTCAAAAGCGTCTTTAACACTATGACTTACTACCATCTTGTGTTACGGTTGGAGGAGTTCACCTAGCCACTTTACCACTCCATGGTAGGTAGAGTTTGACATATCCAGGACTGGGCGAAGAGGAAGTCCTGGTTTATGTATTTTGGGCAGACGGTACAGACGTGAATTATTACTTCTAGTAGGTTTAAGACGGTTATAGGATGCCTCTGAGATTACTCCACTTTTTCTCAGTTCCTTAAGCGTGTTGGTTAACTGCTTTTCAGCCTTTCCGTCCAGATCTGTTGGATTAATGAGGTTTCGGAACTTCGTTTCATCCTTTAGAAGCGAATTCATTTTGTCAACATAATCACGCTTGTTCATCAATACTACTCCGTCTCCTTTATCAGGTCTACTGATTATAATGCTTTCATCGTTCCTTAACTTTCTTATTTTTATTTTTGATTTACAGCTTGATTCCACACTGTATTTTCGGTACAAGTATGGAATTTTCAGCATGGATATCGGTAGCCCAAATTTTGCAGGCCGACCATAGATATCAGATGTGCGTCGGTGCGGGCTCGAACCCCGGACCATGTGCACGGTCGGCGAGAGTCCTAACCGCTGTGCCACCGACGCTTCTCGATGTTGTTTAGTCAGTAAACTCTTACTAGAATGACTACTGTTTTTATACTGTTGACAGCTGTCGACTAGTGTAGTTTTGAACCTAGCGACTTCATCGTCTGATGCTGGGGTTAAACCTTTCGTTTGTAGGAGGAGGTTTTCAAACTGGATGTTGGTATTGAGTTGGTTGGCCTTATACCCTTGGTCACAAAATCTAGGACCCAATGATAAAGCTTCTAACTGTAATTTGTCTAGTGTTACACTTGAAAAATTATGGACATACCGATACGGGTCTGAAGGGAAATCCTTTTCAGGATTTTGACTGTCTAATGATTTGACAAGTTTCGTTCTCCTTTTCTCTGCTCTGTTTTGGCTAACAGAGTCGACATACTCAATGAAGTCAAATAATAAATCCTGAGGAAGTTCATCGACTGCAAATTTCTTCTGTGATAAATTTCTTTCTATATCCGAAATGTAAATTTTTAAAGAGTCCAATTGGTTAAGTGCATAACGTTTCAGTGATCGGGAATTAGGATAAACTTTATTACGACGAAGAGATTTCCAGTAAATTTTAGGATATCGATTATTATTTAAACAATCATTAATAAAATCTAGAAAGTGAAAGATAAGTTACCTAGTTGTGCCACTTCCATGTGTATCTATAAATTGAGTTGCTCCTGTGGAGAAAGCTATATAGGACGAACAACTAGACAGCTTAACAAACGCATTAATGAGCATCTTCCATCATGGTTCGGAAAAGGTCAAATAAAATCCATACGAAGTTCTGTTTTGGCTCATTTGATTGATAGTGGTCACCAAGTGGACAAAAATAGTGCTTTCAAAGTTATTTACCGCATTCCATCAAGTCTTCCGAACGGAATCAGAACCCGTCTTTTACACTTAGCCGAAGCTATGGGAATTCGAGAGAACAATCCTAGTCTTTGTATACAAAAGAAATTTGTTCTACCTTTGTCTCTCCCTTGCTTAGCCTAGGTGAATTCTATTCAAAACCCTCCCACCCTTTCTTATCATCCCTCTCCTTCGTACTTTTATGATATTTATTTAAACTCTGATTATCGTTCCATTTGATTTGACCTAATTTATTTATTTATTGAATTGTCTACATATATGCATATACTAACTTTGTTATTCTTATCACCTATATAAGCCTTATTAACAATATTTTGTTATTATTATAATCATCGTTATTAACTTCGTTCAAAACATTTACCACATTATTATTACTATTATTATTATGATTATTATTATTATCATGATTACTATTATTATTTGATCCACTAAATCACCGTCATTGGTTAAAATTTTATATATATAAGTCCATGTAAATTTGAGTAAAGCGTGAAGAAGATCTAATTGAAAACAATATTGTTCGCTTATATGTCTTGTTCTAATATTACCATAGTAAGTAATCCGATTTGTTTACTCTTCTATTAATTTGATTGCGTAAACTTTTGCACAGGAGTCAGACAAGAGTGGTTGTTATCACCAATGATATTCCTAATTGTGGTGAACTGACTGGATTATGCGTCAGACTGTGGAAAACGAAAAGACAGGGATATCCTGAACCGACGCGAAGAACCTAGAAGACCTGGATTTCGTGCGTGGATGATTTATGTTTGATGTCACACAAAATCGAAGACTTACAAGTGAAAACCGACAAACTGATCGAAGAAGCAGACAGTGAAGACAGGACTCCAAGTGAACATAGACAAGACGGAGGTGATGAAAATAACCAACCAACAACAACATCCAGCGCCAATCACCATCAACAGGAGGGATTGAAAGAGTTTACTTCATTCACTTCATTATCCAAGGAGCATTGTCTCAACTATAGGAAGTCGGAACGGACGAGGATGTCAAATCGAGTGAGAATCGGGAAGGCGAGAAACACATTCATCAACCTGAAACCAATCTGGAAATCTTCGTCACTCAGCCATCATCAACAACAAAATTCAGTCGGATTTTCAATACAAACAAAGTCAAGTCAGTCAGTTCTTCTATACGGATCAGAAACTTGACGGGGGGGGGTCACAAAGAATATTTCCAACAGGTTACGATGCAGACCTTTATCAACAACTGTCTTCGCTGGATCTATACTGAAGATCAAATGGCCGGGCCGGAAAGAACCGCCAACAAGAAACTATGGGAACAAAAAAACAAAACAAGAACAAACCAATCGCCAGCCAACAAATATTCAGGAGAAAGTGGAGATGGACTGGACACTCATTGGCTGAGGAGGCCGCTGAGTGACATTGCGCGCACGTCAGGCCATTGCTCGAGTGGAACCAGGCCGAAACGAAAGCGGCGAGTGGGACGTCGGTGCGAGGGTGACATGGAGGAGATCGTGTGAAGAGGAGTTGAAACAGTATGGACTAACATGGATGCAGGTGAAAAGTATAGCAGAAGGAAGACAGAAGCAAGTAGAGACGTGCAGCTGAAGCCCTATGTTCCAATAGGAACCCCAAAGGGACCAATAATAATAAACTTTTGCTTGCAAGGAACTACTACTGTGGTGAGACCTGTCTGCTCTCCTAGCCAAAATTGCAGACAACATTTTACGTCAAGGTTCACGTACCGAATCGGGGTCATGAGAAAAAACAATAACAAAGCTTAACCTTGAGGAACTCAACAACCAATCACAACAGACTTAACGTGTGCAAATACGATCCGCAGATAATATGGCCTGACCATCTCAGAAACGGTCACACAAAGATGACAGAATAACCTTCAGCAAGAAAACAACGAATGAGAAGACGGTGCTTCTTTGCTAACAATAATGTACATACAAATCTATAAATATCTCTTGATTATCTTCTCAATAAACGATCTGTTGTCAGACCCTTGTCTTTAGTCTTTAGAGTATAATTTTACTTTCTTATTTTGTTCCACTGATTTCAGTTGTAATCATCAAAATAAACAGTATGTATACGTCAAGGCAGTCGTTACTCAACCAATAAATTTTGAGATAATTATTTCTCTCTCTCACACACACACACAAGAACATATAAAGTACTGAGAATAACTACGTAGCCGAATGCCTTCAACTTAACTGAATCCACTATAACGTTGAAGGTCCTCATCTACACACTGTGGCATAATATTTTTCTACCTCCACGTTACCAGTGGAACATAGGGCTTCAAGTTACAGACTTGAAGTTTCTGTAGCAGTGTTTATTTTCACAGGATGGGGTTGCCAGCCTCACACCCAACCTTACCTCTTTAGCAGACCTATTACTGGCTTAGCGAGGTAAAGGAGTGAGTCAGTTGGTGATCGGACCTCGGACCATGTGCATGATCGGGGAGTGTCCTAACCGCTGTGCCACAGATGCACCTGGAATAATATAATTTAATATAATTTCTTGTCAAGAATTAGTCTTTGTAGGGATTGGATTTGTCCCAAGATTTTGACCACAGACTATTATTATTATCAGTTAGAGAACGATTGAAGACCACTATCAAGAGTACTGGACAGCTATCTCGTCTTACTAGTTTGGGATTCCTAGGCATTAGCAAACCACCCTTCCACTGCCAGGGTTCGAATCTAGGGCCTACAGGTTACCGGTTGAGCTCGTAGACCATTATTCTGATCACTGGGACGCAATTCAATAACCAGCACAAAAACTGACTTCTATCAATTCATGATTTCAGTGCGACCACCACCAGCAGGCAATGTCATTACTGGTCCGTTCACCCAACCTGTGATAATAGACCTTACTGTAGTCACGACTTCTGAATAGAACTCTAGCAGCCAGATAGTTAGTTACTGGATAATTTCTGTTCCAAAAAGAGAAAGAGACAAAAGAATCCATCTACAATAAGTTTCATTTGTCCTGGGTTTTTTTTCACATTTTTCGTCCAATCGATAAATAAATAAATAAATAAGCATATATACATATACAAGTAGTACAAGTATACATTGAAATAAAATATAGTTGATCAAATTAATCATTGCACATTTATACATAGACACAAACACACGCAGAGATACACAGACACACCTATATACACACACGCACATATACACACACCTATATTTACACTTTAATTTGTTTGTTTCAATAGGCTTATTTTTGTTGTCAATGGCTTACACAACCTTTTTAGGGGGAATTATCACCATCATCATCAGCATTCTACACAGTTCACTCGAAAATAGCAGACAGATAAGGGGAAGTGGGAACAATAGCTGGAGGAGAAGATTGGCTACGGTTACTGATATTGTTGTTATTACTACTGTTACTATCATCATCATCATTATTATTATCGTTAGTAATAGTAGTAGTAATATCGTCGTGTAGAGTATTTAGCTCTATTGATTGGCAGATACTACTACCAATAGTACTATATGGTCTTAGAGTCAACAACTCTGAGGACTTTTCACTATTCAACTGTTCTACATCATCGTTATTGTCCACATCTTCTTCCATTCGCTCTTCTTCTTCTTCTTCTTCGCCTCTTTCTAAGTCTTCCTCTCTTTCGTCGTCCATGATTTCTGTATCTTCATCAACTCCTTCTCTTTCTTCGTCGATTTCTATTCCTTCAATACTTTGTACATCATCTTCTTTGAATTCTACGCTCGCTTTATCCTCATCCATTTCTACACCTTCCTCGTCGTCGTCTTCTTCATCTTCGTGTCTTTCCACACCACCACCACCGTTGTCTTCGTCGCTTTCTACCGCATTGTCTTCAATTTTGCTTACTTTTGAGTTTTCTTTGTCATCTTTCTCACTTTGTCCTGTTTCTTCATTTAGTGAATTATGATGATTATTGTTATCGGATGTTGGTGTTGACGGGTTGAAATGCAGAAGAGGAGCAGGAGGAGGAGGTGGAGAAGAAGGCGTCAGCGAAGGCGGAGAAGGAGTATGCACTGAACTTATTCCATGATTAGTTGTTTTTTTAGACATCTCCTCCACTAATTCATAATGAGACATGCATACAATCTAAGAAAAGGGGGAGCGGAGAAAAGAAAAGACATCCAAAGAAGAAATAAATTGATAGCAATAGAAAAAAATATAATAATAACAATAATAATAATTAATAAGCATATAAAGATACAAAATTACAAATCTAACTAATGAGAGGCGATTAAAAGAGCCATATGACAGACAGCAGGAGTTAAACAAGATTTCGACGTAGTTTATCTGAAACGTGTAATGTATTGGAGCAACACATTTCGGACATTCTGATCACACACACATACATAGTCTTTATAGACGGCAAGAAGGCATGAATAATTACGATGCAGGTCAGATTGTGTACAGGTCAAGGTCATAAATAATGGGTAGGGAAACACAAAAGGTGTGGGTGAGAAAGATAAAAAGAGAAAATTAACAAGGCAAATAAGGGGTTGAAAATGTTATTATGAAGTAAATTGGTCCTTGGTTCTAACTTGGATTACCAAGGCAGGTTTAAGGTGATAACAAATAGCTTTTAGACACATAAGACAGGTTTAAGTCTTTTTATGTCTAAGACTTCAATGAATCTAAGTATGTGACCTAACCTTGTTTTATATATCAGCTTAAAGACATTGTTGAAATCAACCTTGTGACCCATCTCTATAATATGCTTCGCTATAGATGATGTTGGACATCTATTTCCTGGGTCAATTGTGTTTGGTGATTTCATTTGTTGTTGCAGCCACTTTAGAATGTGTTCTGTAGCCTTAACCTGCAGAGACCGATGGGTCCTCCCTATGTACGTGTCTCCACACATACATGTATGTGTAGAACTAAGGACCAATTTACTTCATAATAACATTTTCAACCCCTTATTTGCCTTGTTTTTTCTCTTGTCTCTTCTTATCTTTCTCACCCACACCTTTTGCGTCTCCTTACCCTATTATTTGTGACACTTTGACCTGTACACAATCTGACCTGTATTGTAATGATTCATGTATGTCTTCTTGCCTTCTATAAAACTGTGTATGACAAGTACGTGTGTGTGTGTGTGATCAGAATGTCCGAAAGGTGTTGCTTTAAACAAGATTGCTTGTCTACTATCGCCGACAGTGTTCCTACTTGTCGTGAACTGGATTATACGGAACAACGTGACGTGGGGAGTGAGGAGACAGGAATACAATGGACAACTGATAAAAAGACTATAGAAGATCTGGATTTCGTGTGTGGATGATTTAATATCTGACGTCATACAAACTCGAAGACTTAGAGGAAGGCGTAAACCAAAAAACTGGCTGAAGAAGCTGGCAACGAAGATAGGACTCCATGTGAACGGAGGTGATGAGGACAATCAATCAATCAATCAACAGCAACAGCAACCAGCACTCATCACCATCAATGGGAGGAATTTGAAAGAAGTTACTTCCTTCACTTATATGGAGAAGCATTCTCTCATCCACATTAGGGACTGATGGAGATGCCAGGCAGAATCAGAAACACAAGCAAGATACACCTTCATTAACCTGAAACCAGCTTAGAAATTTTCTGCACCCACTCAATCAATCAGCACAAACACAATATCCGGATTTTCAACACCAATGTGAAGTCAGTCAGTCATTCAGTTTTTCTATATGAGTCTGTCTGTTTTCGACATAGAACTTTGCACATATGTGCGGCAGTTCAAGTCGCCATGGATCAGAAACATAACGCACCCACATCACGAAGAGCGTTTCCAACAGCAAGTTGCAGACGTTTATCAGCAGCTTCCCCCTTCTCCGGCTTCATATTCATGATCAGATAACCGGTTGGAAAGAATTAGCAACAAGAAACTTTGGCTGAGAACAAACCAATCAAGAGTCTGTTGCTCAACAAATATGTAGGAGAAAATGGAGACCATCGAATGACATCGCACCCCAAGACCTCAAGTGAAACTCAAATGGGAAACGAAGAGTGGGGCATCGATGGGTGACATGGAGGAGATTGTGCGCGGAGGAGGAGGAGAGGAGAGATTTTGGGTAATCTTGGAGTCACCCAGACGAAGAGGACTGCAGAAAATACGACAAAGTGGAGATGTGCAGTTGATTTGTTTTCGATAAAATGAATAAAAGATTTTCAGTTCAGACATCTGACAAGATATTTTTAGAGAATACATAGCTTGGTTTCAATGTTGTGGATTGATTGGAAACCATTCAAGAAATCCACTGCCATACACATATTATATCGCTTTCTAGGCGACAAAGAAAGTAAGGCCATGTACTACTGAGACAATGCGCGATATGAGCAGGAAGAAATAAAGCTGCTAGAATATGAGATGCTGCTACTCCTGCTATCCTATACAAAGACTAGTCCGCTTATAATTCTATGTCTGGGTCACACTATACAGATCGAGCGACTTAACTTCATCGGTGTTCGTCTTGTAACCCAAAGATCTTAAGCGTTATTTAATCATCCCCCCCTGAAGTCATGGAGTGTACTCTGTGCTGAAGAGTCCCTACGATTAGGACGAAACAACTACCCAGTATATCCCACACAGTTCTAGTGATCATTTATTTGATTGATGTCATTTTTATTCAAGTGTTGGTTTGTAGGGATTTGGTTGATTGGTTACAAGATTTCATCATGAGCTGACATTAGTTAGAGAACCACTGGAAAACCATCAGGGAGTACTAGACAGCTGTTTCGTCCTAGTTTGGGACTCTTCATCAGTACCCACCCACTGCCAGGGTTCGAACCCAGGACCTTCTGGTTACAAGGCGAGCCAACTCGTATACCATCGAGGCACTGGGATCCGATCCAATGGCCCAAGAATTCTAACTTCTGCCAATTCATGACATAGCGCGACCCCTAGCCAATGTCTTCGGCGAATATTTGTCATTTTTGTGATCCCGCTTGAAACTAATAATCAATATTTACATGATATATAAGGAGCACTATACAACAGACAAAATCATACAAATATCAAAACTACTACTCCAGTGCAGACAGACTAAGCGAAAAGATAGATTGTCCTAGAATCTATGACTGCTGAATATTAACAGAATAGACTTACTCGTGCAAGAAGGACATTTTCAGCAGAAGAGTGATTATTATTATGATTATTTACAGATCGATTGTTAGTTGGCCTAAATTTACGTTTCGCCACGATTGGTGGTAATACAATAATACTGCCTTCAACATGCGCTAAACAAAATGATGATGGACATATGGAGCAGAAGACATGCGAAGGACGACCACATGCATCACAGTGATGCCAAGGACAAAACCATCGACCTTAGAAAAGGAATGAAATAAGTAAAAATAAATTAAAGTATAACAGCACATTGATATTTTAATTTTAAATATAATCATTACATGGATTACTCGAACACAAAAGGCTTGTGTAACGTTGGCCAAATCGCATCATCTCTGGATTAGAGGCGATATCCAACTGGCTATCGATTAAAGCACATGTGTGTCGCACAGAAGCAGTTTGCTCCATCCTCCTCCTTTATGGCTGTGAAGTGAGACTGTAATAACAGAAGACAAGGGCCAGGCAACAGATCGTTTTATTACGAAAATCAACACGTATTTATATATATTTTATGTACATTAATAAGGCTTATGCAAACAGAAAAAGGCGGTCTTCTGATTGGTTGTTTCTCGGAAGTTAAGCAGACAAACGCAGTCTTCTGATTGGTTGTTTTCGATATTTCTCGGAAAGTAGAGCCATCTATCTGCGAATCATATTTGCCCACGTTTAAGTCTGCTGTGATTGGTTGTTGAATCAGCCTAGATTAATGTCTACCAATTGGCTAGCAGCCTGCTCTCACCACAAGACATGGTCATTAAAAGTCGAGAAACATGAAAAGACTGGCTAGCTGTCTTCGATAATAGGTGTCTACGTTCTATCTCTCGCATTGGATGGTATAATATGGCAAGTAATATTGAGGTTAGGCTTTGTCAATTGCTAGATAAGGCGGGTTGGGTTGTCACATCGATTGAGATGGTTACGACATATGTCAGACATGTCTAGTCCAGCCATCGCCTTCGTCGACGGTCAGTGTTGGTCTCTGACATAGAATCGATCAAATGGTGAAAGAGTGGATTCAATCCACGAAGACATTGACAGTTAGTCTGAGGCAGCCATGTATGGAGATATAGACTACCTGATTGGAGTCCTTGGGATTATAGAAACCAATGACTTCAGATTATTGGTGATATGTCTCTAAATCTTTCTTAGTGACGCAGATACATTCATTCTTTGTGATCTAGCATACCAATTACACCCTAACGTTTTTCCATGTTACTTTTCTATCTCCCTTACATTTCTGTTTATTGGCATTCTTTCGAATCTTTTTCTTCCTTTGTGCACTACATAGAGTGTGGCAAGTTGAGCTGTTGTGCAAAGTTCTATGTTGAAACCTGCCTTCACACACTCATTCACCCTCCTTGTTGTAGCACACAAAGCAAGAGAAGACATTTAATTGATGGATGGTGACAAGCAGTGGAATCCACCAGGACAAGGTGCATTTCGTTCTATTTGTGACTCGTCCACTACCTGGATGTACCTCCATTTCCCAGTGAGTGATGGTATTCCCACCATCGAGGCTCGAACCCACTGCCCATAGTTTCAAACGTCAAAGCGTTATCCACTATAACACTGGGGTCACGAGAGCTGGCCATCTCTTGTGCAACGGGTCAAGTTAATTTAACTGAATTTTAGATTTCCCCGTCGATTGATTGGACCGAAATACTCGGTCTCAGGTTGATATGTCTGTTGGCTTCTTGTGCAGACGCTTCGACGATGTCTGGGCATTTAATTAGAATTTAATTGGTGGATGGTGACTAGCAGTGGAATACAGGATGCGCACAAGAAGCCGACATGTCAACCTGAGAGTGAGCACTTCGGTTCAACCAATCAACGGAAAAATCTAAAATTCAATTAAAGCAAGAGAAGACAGTTAACAGATACTTAAATGAGACAGTCAAAACTGTGCGGCAAAAAGAATAGTCGTTATATGGAGAAACAATAGAGTTTTATTGGATATGACGATTCAAAATGAATGAATACATCTGAACCAGCCATTGAGAATGAGGATTTTGAGCCATATAACTAATTATCTCCAGCCGCCATTGGTTCTTATCATACCGAGGATCCTAACCACTCAGGAAGACTACACCTCCCCTACATGGCTGACTGGCTTAAATTAACTGTTGTGGATTTCATTGACTGATGAAGCCACGTTTTGGCCTGTCCACCATTAGCTCTTTTCCAAAGTGATCTATCGAAGAAGACGGTGGCTGGGCATGTTGAAACCAACCAGTCAGTCAGACATGTATTACTACTGATTCCCAAGGACTGCTTGATGGTCGAATCTGCTTGCTTCACGTCGAATTCTTTAGCATGGATATTTCACTCGGCATATCGCCCAACTTGCAGTCGTTTCAATATTTTATGATTTAAAAAGTGTAAAAGCTATACCTTTATTCATGAATAAAAACAAGCATAAATGTGGTAGTTGCTTAATAATGTTCTTTTGATAACGTCCTTGTGACTTCATGTCACTTGACCTGCGTTCAGTTTATGACCGCACAATTGCATTCAAGACTCAATATGGGTTATAAGCCGTATTATACATATACAAGTACTTTGCCATCTCATGTCGGTTTCAGCACCCGAATGGCCATTTCAACGCCTTCACACAAGCAAAAGTAACACGCACGCAATTGTCTGGAAACACGAAATTGGTTGTTCATCTTCCTAATCACAATATACAACTGACAACAAGTTATGATATATTCCTGATCACTAAAAAATATTGTTAAGTAAATTATGATTCCAACTTATAACCAGATGATAAAGGTTAGTTGTATAAATGGGATGATTTGCGACGACGTTTTATACAGTCACATATTTGATGCACACTATGAGTCAATGATTCAGCGGTAGACTACTTGCCGACTACGCCTCATGGGGTCCTGGGTTCCATCGGTAGCCAGTGCACTCCTAAACCTCGCTAAATCGGTAAAGAAGGCAGCTTAGGCGTCAGTCAAACTAGCAACCACCTCACGCCGTATAAAACAAACACCATTGCTATCGAAACTTCAAAACTCTAGCTTGAAGCTTCAGATGTTCCACTCGGAACATAAAGGAATACAAAAAAAAGTTAGTCAATGAGTCCTAGCTGTTGGAGACAAAGCATCTTATTATCTGGTAATCATCAAATGGGCAGGTGCATGGCGAATTATTCCAATACTGTTGATTATTCCTATCTCTATGTGACAATGACTAGTCGGATACAAGGTATATATTCGTTTGAGGAATATATGTATATAAACAAACTACAACATTGTAAGCTTATGATTTGTCTTACAGACCGATAATACTACAAAATTATTTCAATACACTGCACTACTGTCCTAACATGATTATGATTAAACCTGATGGGAACATCATCACTCATTGTGAAATGCAGGTACATCCGGCTGGTAAACGAGTCCCAAATAAAACGAAATGTGCATCCTGTATTCCACTGCTAGTCACCATCCACCAATTAAATTCTAATTAAATGCCCAGACATCGTCGAAGCGTCTGCACAAGAAGCCAACAGACATATCAACCTGAGACCGAGCACTTCTATCCAATCAATCGACGGGGAAATCTAAAATTCAATTAAATTAACTTGACCCCGTTGCACAAGAGGTGGCCAGCTCTCGTGGCCCAAGTGGTCTAGTGGATAACGCTTTGGCGTTTGAAACTATGGGCAGTGGGTTCGAGACTCGATGGTGGGAATACCATCACTCACTGGGAAATGGAGGTACATCCAGGTAGTGGACGAGTATATCGGTGGTAGAATCAGTGCTCGACGGAGTGCGTTCAACTCCCGGACCAACACACATCTCTAAACCTCACTAACCAGTAGTAAACTCGGAAAAAACAGAGGGAAGGCTCAGAGTCATGAAAACTTAGCCGCCACTCCTGAAACTTCAAAGCTCAGAAACCTGAGTGGGCTTATACCACCCCCTTCACCACCACCACCAATACTGAATAGATGTGTGAGTGGTAATCTGAATAATTTGGTTTCCAAGGGAAAATGTGGTTCCTCGCACGCACACACATTCACATAGACAGACAGATAGTGAATTAATCATCCTGATTCATTAAAGTCCCACAAAAACTTACCACTAACAGGCGGTGCATCTAAATCCAAACAGAATAAATGATATACTTTTGGACAATCCGATTTACTACACATAATTAAATCAGATGTTGATGGCTTTTTCAATCTCTGTTTGCCATCATCATCACTGTCGCCATCCTCATCATCAACTTCATCCTCATCCTCACCATCGTCGTCGTCAGCATCCTCATCTTCTATCTTGATTGTTTTCATCATATTCGAAGATTTCAACTGAGCATCTTTCTGATGTTTTATCAAAGAGGAACTATTACTACTACTAAGTCGAGATTGTTTATGTTTAATTGGTGATTGATGATGAATTACAGCCGCAACAAGTCTTTCTAATTCACGTTTAAGTCCACGTTTATTGGATGAGGAAATAGTATTTGTTGTATTGGGATTACTAGGCGTAGTAGTAATTGAAGGATACATCGAATTTGATAATTCACAAGATTGTAATGAACGATTGCCAACTGGAGCTTGTTCTTTACCACATCTAAAAAACAATAGTGTAGATACATAATAGAGAAGATTTGTAGCTCAGGTGGATGATTTGCAATTAATAGTGTTCTCTGAGCTGGTTGGTTTAGTTGAGGAGCTTTCGTCGTCCTTCTGGACAGCATCTTCAGTGTAGATACATATATACATACAATAATTTTTTACACAAAAATTAATCATCTTTTACTCCTCTATAAATCTACAAATAATCAATAATGATATTAATTAAAAAAACACTAATGAACCATTGCTTTGCACGAACCGATAGAAATCACTGGTTACAGAATTTCATCATGAGCTGAAATCGGTTAGAGAACCATTGAGAAACAAACTGAGAGTACTGAACTCTTCAATGATATACACTCATCCGAGTTCGAAACCAGCATCATCCAGCTACAAAGCGAGTTCGAGGACTGTTAAGCCACTTGGACCCGATCCAATTCCAACTTCTGCTGATTCACGACATGTGGTAGCGCGATATCGTGAATTCATGAGCTGGCCATTGAGTCGGTTCCCATTGACCTAGCTGTCTACCAGTGGTTGTATACCATTGAAGAGTCCAAAACTACGTCGAAACAGCTTGCTGTTCAGTACTCCCAGTTGGTTTTCTAATCTTTCACTAACCGATATCAACTCGTGAATATATACCATAACCAATCAAATCCCTATAAACCAACACTTGAATGTAAATCACTGAATAGTGGTCAACTAACTGTAGTGGATAGATAATAGAAAACGGTCAAAAATTGAAATCAATATTTTAAGTTAATAACTGGTTGGCGGCAAAGGTAGAAGTGTTTTTATTTTCCTCCAATCAAGATTTAGTTTACGCCTTGTGGACATGAAATAACCTCTCACATTGGACAACTATGTTTAACCTTGAGCCAATCACCAACCAATCAAAACTATTTATTTTTCTCTAACCTAGCTGAACTTTAATGTGGCTAGAAATGTATAACTTTGATGTGCGTTTTTCCTTAATAAAAAAAAGTCCGTTACCAAGTTTTTTTCTCATCTCCTGTCACACAACAAGCAGCTTACCTCGATCCTTGATCGGATCTTAAGTGTACCTTGCTACGCAGTCCTAAACTATGGTAAGAAAAACAGCTGGTTGTTCCGTATACTTTGTTGTTTTCCATGAATGATTCACTCAGAGGTAACGATTCGTGACGTAATATCTTGATTTTGTACACCTATGATGATGATGATGTCATCTCAGATTCTAAACAAGGAAGCGGAGATGAATCTAAACTATAAAATATCCCCATAGCAACGACGTCACTTCTTGACTATCTTTTAGCTTTTCCCAACGATTTCCAGGGGTAACATACAGTGAATGGTCGAGATACCGCTGAGATGATATTCCTAGAGCATATCCAGTTCTCCGATGCTCATGTCCGAAGATGATGCTTCCAGAGATCAGTCAAATTGACATCTAGTCTAATCTCCGTCAGCATAAAAACATTTACCTTCACCATACAAGAACATTGCGACTACCATGTTCATGAGTAAATGTTGTTAGATTTCCCCCGCATAAGACCCTTATACCAATCATTATACTAATGGGCATCAACAATTTAGGAACACTTCCCGTGACAAAAAGCAAACGAGATCTTGAAAACAGAATGTCTTACTAAATCACAAGTGCGATTCACTCTAAAAAAAGAAATAGTCTAGTATAAATGTTGAAGTGACAAAACTCTCAATCAATATCACATCAAAGTTGACTACCATTATAACTAACTATATCAATAAATTATTAAAGGAGAAGAAAGTATTTCTAGTTCTCAAAGACCTCAAAAACACGCACACATACACACTGACATTGAATATGATAAGCAAAATTTAAAAAAAAATGATGATGAAAGGAATTCAAGGCTTAAAATTTGCTTTAAGACAAATTAGAGTTGAATTCTACAAAAAACAAATTGATTTATTGATCACTGTAGTTTTTGTTTAAAGTAAGTGTAGAAATTTATGGCGCACTTTCAAAATTTACCGATTTCATTTAAATAATAATAATAAAAATGGGAAGAAGAAGCAGACTAATAGTTAATGACAAAACCTAAAGCATGCATACTACTATAAAAACACATCTTCCCCCGGAAAACTTGAATGTCATCCAGATATAATCTAAGTAACGCGGACAACGATCAACGTCTTATCGATTACTAATCATCGAACTCAGAAATAAAGTAATAGCTCTGAATTGAATTGAGAATTGTAAAATTTACTGCGCCTAGTGTAACAGACTACTGCTGCAGACTTCTATCCAGACCAGCAGCCGTCTTCGTTTATCCGACATTGAAAAGATTGTATTCTCTCAACCAGAAAGGATAAACCAACAAGGAACTCAATAGGCAACGAACCAACCAACCAACAAACAAACCTACCGACCAACAAACAGGTAAAAGAAAATACAGATGCATTGGATGCACGCTGAGAAACCCATTGAGTAACACCAGACATCAGACCATCGACTGGCGCCCGAATGGCAAACGATGAGTTGGCCGCAGGTTTCAGCGCAGCATCGAAAAAATCATGTGATGAGAAAGAAACAAAAGCATATAGTCACTTGTGGAACCAGCTAAATAAAGACGACTGCAGAGGACAAGGTAAGATGGCGCCGTTTTCCTGTAATCAAGGAAATAATAATTACAAATAAGCCCAACAAACCACACCAGAAAAATAGATAACAACTGGCAGAAGTTGGAATTCATGAGCTAACCATGGGATCAAGTCTCAGTGGCTTAATGCTCCACGATCTCGCCTCGTGACTGGAAGGTCCTGGGTCTGAATTCCGATGGGCATAGACCACTGAAGATTCTCAAACTAGGGGGACGAAACAGCTGTCCAGTATTCCTAGCTGGTTTTCCAATAGTTAGCTTATAATGAAATCCTGTAAACAATAACACAACTGTACAAAGCCAAATGTAAGCGAAACTGATACATAAAAAAACAATGACATAGAACAAATCAAATGCAAACTAACCGGAAACATTTCGTTTCAAGATACTTGTCTTTACATGCTGGAGAATTCATTACACTTCCTGAACTATTCCTCGCATTTCCCACTGAATGATTAGATACGGTTGAAATGGAAGTCTTACTGGAAATTGAATCGCGTCCATCATCCTTATTTGTATGCGCTTTTTCAGTACCACCTGCACGTGAGTTACCAGTGCTACCACCTTGTGAAGTATTCCGCCTAGTTCCACGTGCTGTATCTGCATTCACTGGAACAGTTGATGAACTGTTCGACTCAGAACAACAATTGGCAGATGTACCATTACTATTAGTAATAGTACCAACTTGTGCAGTATGACCATTATTATTATTCGAGGACTCTGAACGTGCACCTAAAAATCCAACACAATTCGAAGCGCCACATCGACAATTTAAACGTTCTTGACCCAATGCAACAAAATTATAGTTGAAGGTTAACTCTTCACCAGCAGCGATATTTCTGATATAAGTTATATAAAATAAATAGGATAGACATAAGGATATAATAATAATAATAATAATAGCAGCTTCGTTTCAAACAAGATTTTTTGGTACAACTATGCAATTTTCGGCAGGTAGTATTGTGGTGAGACAAAATTGTAGACAACAATTTAAGTCAAGGTTCACGTACCTAATCGGGGACATGAGAAAAACAATAACAAAGCTTAACCTTGAGGAACTCACCAACCAATCATAGAAGACTTGACATGTGCAAATAGGATTCGCAGATATATGGCTTAACTTTCTGAGAAACGATCACAAGCAGTGCTTCTAGTTCCCCTACCTGATAAGATGCAACTGGGGAGAGTTGTGTATTAATAAAGACGATGCTCATAAGCTAACAAGATAATATTTGCACATTTCTTGCAGGAGTCCATGTGTCTATCGACAACAGTATTAACGAGTTGGTTTAGTAACACACCACTCACCCCAAATGACAGCTTTTAGTGTCCTTCACAGTGTGACAAAGTCTTTCTTAAGTAGCCCAGGAAAGATCAAGGTGGTGGAGAGTGGGACAGGCAGTAAAGAAGAATAGGTAGAATGAATACAAGAATTAAAAAACTTAAGTTATCTTAACTTCTTTAAGTAGAATGTTAAATGAAATATCCACCTGGAAACTAACATGATAAGGGAAGACCAGGAAAGATGATCAGAGGATCCGCTTATAGATATGAAAATGGCATTATTATCCGTATCATTTGCGATTAAAAAACGTCTTTCTCTCTTTCTCTTACATCTTCTGTTTTTCAAAAATGAAGACGTTTCACGAACACTTTTATCAGTCCTGTTAGTATTCGACAAGGGTAAGTTTTAGGCAAAACATACTATGAGTTTAATATTCCCGGGGTGCAGAAAACCCTTCATTTTAGGGGGATAATTACATTTGTACACTGTTTTACGCTAGTCAGTTAATCTATCAGAGACACCAAAATAGTCTAGAGTTCCATCCATCCATCGCGAGCCCGAATAGCTCAGTGGTAACATCTCTGACGCGGGTTCGAATCTCACAAAGGAGATGAGTTCCTTCAAGGTTGCAGATACGCCTTGCTGACAAGTCCTAACTAGCACGAAACCTAGGTTGGAGGCTTTCTGTCGATTGTCTGCAGTCATCTAATATCATCAAATCAATGTGTACCCCGATGACGAGCTACCAAGAATAGTGGCCGCATGGTAAACCTGACTGACAGAAGCCAGCCTGCAATAGACAAAAGACCAGATACATCATACTACTTACCAGTGTCTAATCAAAGCATCAGTGAATCTATAATGAAACTAAATAAGGTGACAATGCACATTCTTGACAGACACACAACTAGTTGTCAACAACACTACAGATGGGTAATCTCCCATAGACCCTCACATTGCTACTGTGGCATAAGTTCGAGAACAATGACTTGATTAGTGTAATGTACTTTGTTTTATATAAAAAAACGGGGGGGGGGTTGCAGTAATACAACTGAAATGAAAGTCTACAAACAGTTTGCTAAAAGTTTATTATCAGAAAAATACTTTCCCGTCATAAATTTAAAGAAAGATCTTAAAATGAGTGAATACCTTTCATCATATCAATGCTCTACACAGCTTATATACACAATCATATGTATAAGCAGCTTATGTGTTAAAGCGAATTTTCTTTGTGAAACTACTTGATTACAAAAGAGTAGTGAATGAAAAAGGCACAAGAAACGGACTATTACTATTATCATTTCTTTGAGTTCCGAGTAGATCATAGGGTTTCAAAAACACATCTCCACTTTCTTCTATTTTCTGCGATCCTCTTCTTCCAAGATTTCCTATAATCTCTCCTCTCCTCCTCCGCGCACGATCTCTTCCATATCAATCTCCGTCGCCCTACTCATCGTTTTCCCACTTATGTTCCACTCAAGGGCTTGGCGTGCGATGTCGTCCAACGCTGTCCTCAACTTATGCTCGATCCATTTCCATTTTTCTTACATATTTGTTGAACAATAGACTCTTCGTTGGTTTGTTCACAGCCAGAGTTTCTCGTCGCCAATTCTCTCTGACCAGCCGGTTGGTCATTAGATCTTCAGTATGGAGCCAGCCAGCGAAATGGACAGCTGCTGAAGAAAGTCTGCAACTGGCTTTTGGAAGTCCTTTTGTAACAACAGAAGACAAGGGCCAGGCAATAGATCGTTTTATTACGGAAATCAGCACGTATTTATATATATTTCATGTACATTATTATAGCTTATTCAAGCAGACAAACACAGTCTTCTGATTGGTTGTTTCTTGCTCAAGATTATTCTGTACTGCTTGTGACTGGTTTCTGAAAAAGTTAAGCCATATATCTGCGAATCGTATTTGCCCACGTTAAGTCTGCTGTGATTGGTTGTTGAATCAGTCTTGTTCATATTTTCTCACGGTCAATATTAGCGACACAGACATCAACGTAAATTAATGTCTACCAATTGGCTAGCAGTCTGCTCTCACCACACTTTGAGTGACTAACACGCAGTGCGAATTTCTGATCCATACAGAAGCAGTGATAAACTCAACAATTGTGTTGAAAAGAATCCGAATCGTGTTGTTTATGGTGGTTGGCTTAGTGAGGCACAAGATTTCCAAACAGGTTCCAGGTTGATGAAAGCGTATCTTGCCTGTCTTTAAGATTCTGGCTGGCTGACCGGCTTTGACATCTTTATCCCTGCTATCCGAATGCATGTGACTGAAACCGAGCTTCCTGGCCAGATAGGTGGATGAAATGACCGGTGTCAAATGTCTCCTGTTAATGGTGATTAGTGCTGTTTGTTGTTGTTGCTGCTGCTGTTGGCCGGTTGGTTCGTTATCTTCATCACCTCCATCTTCTCTATGTCCACCTGGAGTCCTGTCTTCTCTGACTAATTCTTCAGCCAGTCTTTTGGTTTAAATTATTTCTCACTTTATATTATATGAAATTAGATTAAATTACACAATTATCTACTAATAGTACTTTCTTCATTTGTGTAAGTGGAATCAAATACTTTGAAATATAGTAGCACAGATGTACTTATCTAGTCTTTTGTGAATTATAAATAAAATAGAATACAATTATAATTATTGGACATTAACTTGAGTAAGTACAATTATCAGTATCTCGTATTTTTGTTACATGATTAATAAATATGTGTACACAACAGTGTAATACACAGACAAGAGTCTAACAATAGTATTTTTTATGTTACTGTATATATAAGAGTACAAATGTACTAGTACTGAAACACTTATTATATTTTAGTAAAAATAATAACAGACTTAGTGTAGAGCTGTTGTCCAAACACTGGGTCACAGGTAAGAACCCTGTCCCCCCCCTACATACCAATATTTAGGCTAATCGGTAGTATTATTAATCCTTATTGCCAATTGCAAATAGTTGAGTAATAATTAGTAGTAGATAAAACCCATAATCAGCTGATTAAACGTGACATTAGCCAACTGAAACTAACCAATCAAAAAGCGTGTAAATTGCTTACACACAATATTGACGCCTACGTACATGTCAACAAATTAAACATTCTCTGATTGGTAGATTTCAAGCATTGCTGCTTCAATGGGCTAATCAGCTGATTAATGCGCTTTCTTCCACTGCTGTAAAACTATCATTTTATTTTATTATTTTTTTATTAACAAACCCTAATTGTGAAATATTTACTCATCCTTCCTACATAATTTCCAAGTAAACCAATAGAATATCACATGATACAAGATCTTATCCGCTAAAATATTTATTTTCCCTTCGAATAAATAATCAATAATCAGAAATACTCACATTTCGATCCAAAGACAAAATTCAATGACCAAACCGAAAGGAGGAACATAAAAAGATAAAATTGATGTGTTTTATTCTGGATAAAAATTCAGATCTAACCCAGTGACTTAATCAAGCACGCCACCTCTGACAATTACGTCAAACGGTTTCACTGGGACAAAGTGATGTAAAACATTGGTAGCAGTAGCACAGTCGTTGGTCCAACAGTAGAAAGCTCGCCAGTTACACCAGAAGTGCAGTCGATCAGTGGCCACACATGGCAAAGAGACTTGACATACACACATAACCAAAACCATTTCCAACAGCCAACTGCAATTGCAGAATTGTATAAATTGGAGAAGATTTGTAGCTCAGGTAAATGATTTTGATGTGGTTGTTTGTTCTCCGAGCTGGACGCTTTACTTGAGAAACTATCATCTTCCTTCAAGGTAACATCCGCAGTGCATACTTCGCTTTGTTGAAGTGAGCTTTCAAATTTCACTACGAGTTCATTGGTTATCTCTCCTGGTGACCTTGAATGTGGTTGGTTGCTAGTGTCTGTCTTAACACCCTTCAGTCTACTTATATTTGCATTGATTGTTTCCTTAACTTAAAGTTTGACATTCTGAGCATGAGATTTTCCTCACACGGATTGGTAGATTCTATCTATATCAATGTGGCTGGTAATTGCTGATTCACTGAAATATCAGGCTTCCAAAAAATTCTCCGGCATTTTGGGTGTTTCTTCTTCCTAATATTTGGATGTTGTCCGTGGTTGTCTGTACGCAATGGAGCAATATCAGCGAGTGTATATCATGTCTTTTGACGACTAGTTTGTGTTCATGCATGCGAAGACAAAGAGGACATCCACTTTGGCCAATGGGAATGTTTTTTTGCAGTTGTTGCAATTTATTTTGTAGTTGTTGTTGGTCTTAAATTCTTTCGCTATTGAGTCTTTTGGTTCACACAGAGCTGATTGAAGTGATTTCGTTGGTTTATATGCGGCGATATCAATTCCTAAAGGTTTGAATAGTCTTGCAGTAACGTTCTTTATATATAATATATACGATAAGACGATTTTCTTTGTGTTTTCTTTTTGGGTCTTTGATTTGGTTAGTTGTTTTTATCAACAGCTGTCTACGGTAATTCGACACTGGAGATTAGATGAAAAGCCAGAAGGAATAGGTACCAGGTTATATTCTCAACCCGAACATCTCCAAACTTCTCCTAAGTCTAATAGCCAGAAAAGGGGGAAGATTGTCCATGAGGCCCATAAAAATAATGCCACTAATCAGTGGAACTTGGAATGTTTCCCACTCGGCACTCATAAGAGTTGAAATTACACAAATAATCATCATTATAATGATAAAATATCACTAACCTGACAGCAAATAATCCAATTCTATTATCACCATTTACAGTCCATTTTTGTGTATTCAAATTAGGATCACATGAATGATTCATGAAACGGGATAAATTACCCTTAGGTCCAGCATCAATAATACGTTGACTGTCTAATTTCATCATATAATAATTAGTAATATTATTTTCATGAGCAAATCTTAAACGTCGATTCGCTTCATCTTCATCAATTAAATCACCAATGTATTCATTAACAAATTCTCCCTGGAATTAGAATTTTATTTTTTTAAAGAAAGGCGAGAGAAAAACAAAAAGAATTAAATCGTGATCACTATTATTATTAGGTGGAAATTTATATCGACAAAAATCAAATGAAAGTTATGACAACAGACGTGCTCCCCCTCCCCTCCATACAAACACACAAGATTGTAAGCTATAAAAACTGTCTGAAACATAAACAGAAATTGCATGGAGGATTTCACTATGAGCTGACATCAGTTAGAGAACCATTAGTAAACCTGCTGGGAGTACTGGACAGCTGTTTCGTCCTAGTTTGGGACTCTTCATCAGTACGCACTCACCCGCGAACTCCTGGTTACAAGGCGAGCTAGTTCGTAGACCATTCAGCCACTGGGATCCGATCCAATTGTCCTTGAATTCTGACTTCTACCGATTCACGACAGAGCGCGACCACTTCACAATGTCTTCTTCTATGGTTACTGCCTCATCTTCAACCTGCTGTACCCTACTGGTCACGGCTCCCCACTAGAATCCCAGGTAAACTGCCTGAATAGGACCAGTCGCCAATGAGCATCAGATGAATTTTCAAGTATTGGTTTTGTAGGGATTTTGTTTGATTGCATGGAGGATTTCACCATGAAGTTAAAACTCAAGGACCATTGGATCGGGTCCCAGTGGCTCAATGGTCTATGAGCTCGCCTTGTAATCAGAAAGTCCTCGGTTCGAACCCCGGTGGGCGAGTGCGTACTGCTAAAGCAGAGTCCCAAACTAGGACGAAACAGCTGTCCAGTACTCCCAAGTTTTCCAGTGGTTCTCTAACTGATGTCAACTCATGGTGATATCCTCCATGCAATCAGACAAAATCCCTACAAAACCAATACTTGAAAATAAACTGAGATAACTGAGATAATCTAGATTTTGATGTTCGATCACAAACTGACCTAAGTAGTAGAACCACTGAAAAAACAGTATTTGACAACTATTTCATCATTATTTGAGGCTCTCTTAAGCTTAACATACTACTCATGACCCTGCCAAAAGGGAAAACCCATACCTTTCAGGTTATACAAGGCAATCTCATCGACTGTTTGGCCACTAGGTTCGAACCCCATGGCCAGCCCTTCAGTCGTAACTCTATTCCCTCTCCCATCCAACATTATAGACATATGTCGTCAAACCAAACAGAAATTATTGGGATTGCATTGGAACCATCTTAAAGCCGTATAATTCCGTCATATTTAGCCATTAACCCTTAGGAAAACTGCAGAATCCATGCGTATTACTTGCGTTTAACAAGTCAGAAACTTGTCATGTCATTCTCATAGGCAATTACTGAAGTATTCATAATCTTTTGTTTTACCGATTGACTATGCCGTCGATGTAGGTGACCTTTATCACCTGGCCAACAGTAACAACACACCATTTATATCTCCGTTTCCATGCAAAAACACAAATAGATTTAATTCACGGAGTAGGTGTGTGTGTGTGTGCATAAGTAATCGCCAAAACAAAATTTACCACGCTTTCATTCCCACTCTCCCTAATAGAGGATAGAAAAGAAACAGTCAGCTACAATTTGAATTTCCTCGGGTATTGATTTTTAGTGCGATGCACAGTTATATGCGACTTTTTTTACTACGTGTATATAGAAATACTGTGATCACAAATCCCAAATATTACAAGCGTGTTTTATCAATCAACACCGGAATTATCCTGTCATCCCGTTTGGCATAATGTGCGCGCGAAAACAACATGTACGGATAACTTTGATCATCACCTATAAAAAGTATGGTTTTAATCCCCTTCCTATAATGCTAAAGTGTGAAACAAACTAAATTGCAGAGAGTTCACCCTGGTTATCAAACAGTCGCATGTTTAAGAAGCACTGACTGGTTTCAACATAGAAATGGCTGGCTGACTTAAACTAACAGTTGTAGATTTCATTGACTGATGAAGTCATGTTTTGATTTGATCACCACTAGCTCTCTTCCAACCTGATCGATCCTCCGTCAGCGGCTAATATTGCCCGTCGAGGAAGGCAATGACTAGGCATGAGTAACACGTATCTTAGCCATCTCAATCGATGCAACTTCACAACCTCATCGATTGATTTCTCCTACTTACCTAATAACTCTCGACGAATAATCTTCAATATTCCTCACCCTATTATACCACCACCTAACAAGAGACATAGAATGCAGACACTTATAATGATCAAAGACAAGCTAGTCAACGTTTTCATGGCTTCCACTTCTAATCGCCATGTCAATGCAGTTGAAGGTTGAACAACCAATTCATGGTTGTTTGCTCAAACCCAACTCCATATTTTGGCGGGAGTTATCGATAGTGCAGTCATCGTTTCATCGTTCGCTGTTCGTTGCAGGACAGAGAAAAAACTATCAGAAACTTTGTGTACAATAACCTAATGGTTGGCTCTGTATTGGTGCAAGAATAAACGGTTCTTGAGTCACCAATTTGTGTTCTGGCTTTCTGGCGTTGGTTATTGAGTATAGTTCCTGAAAGTCTTCTAAGGGGACAGTGTGAGGTCCAGCGTAGTTAGACCTGGACATTGACACGCCATGTCTCACTCACAGTCATAAAGAAAGAGGATGAAACGAAGTGTTGAGAAGTATACACATCCTTTGATCGGTATAATAACCAACCACCAGATATCACGTCTACGCAAGAGATGATGCAGGTTGGCAAATGCACACGAGTCTTTTGTATCTATGCTGAGATTTCATCAACTATCAACTCGGCGGGGCTGATGCAACTTCCCTAATTAAGTGAAGTGGTGGTCAACACGCTCCACACCAACCACTTCACTTCCCTCTGTATCTTTAAGCTTGCAGTGAATTGATGTACTCCAATCCCGTAGCATCATCAACCTACATTTGACACAAGAGAAAGGATGTACACAAGTAAGCTAATGCAAGCTCATTAAAATATGAGTGAAATTGTAAGATAAATCACTAGAGAACTTGTCACTATGACAACAAGTATATAAATTATTCATCAAAACGACAACAATTCCTATAACATCAATGTGTATACATCAAACTAAAGATATAATCGAAAAAAACGTTTCAACTTTTAAAAAATACATACTGCACGAATTGGAACCAAAGTTTTTAATCCCCATCCACGTTCATCACCGGTCCAAAATGGTTGTTGTGGTGGATAAAGACGTTTTGTGAAACGTTGATTACGACATGCTTCTCCATTTGGACATGCACTAGGCAAACATTCATAGTGTAATTCACGATTTATACAATTACTAGATGGTCCACATGGATCTTCTGAATCTTTAGGACAATCACATAGTGGAGCTTCACTTGAATCAGTAAGACGATAGACACGAACAGAGCCAATTGGCCAGTTCACCTGTGTTGTGTGTAATTGAAAGGAGGAGGGGAGAAAAAGAAAGCAGAATATGTGAGTGTCACAGGGAAAGACAAAGAAAAGAAAAGAAAAAAAAGAAACGGTTGCAGGGAAATTTTGCACAAAGTCATCCACCAACTAGGTTGTACATTTGAAAAAAACTTATGACAAAGAGGGATGAGAAACTTCTGTCTTTCCAATAACAGAACACTTCGTGAACTGAAGACGTTGACAACTTCATTTGAATAATCCTTTTAAGTCCTGAAAACACAATCTGATCAAACCTCTCAAATGGAATAAGAGAGAGAGATCAAGACATACTGAGTTGAAGCCAACGCTAAAAGAAATATAACGGAAGAAGACAAGAGAACTGGTAACAGACTTTTATCCAAAAAAAATAAGGAAAAGAGCATCATACTTATACATTTTTAGCCATATTAAAAGTAGGCTAAATCAGTTGACGAGAAACTGTCCAGATTGGTTGGCGATTGGCTCAAGGTTAAACAATGAGACGAAAAGTTGTCCATTGGAATTATTTCATGTAAGCTAAATCCAGATTTGAGGATGATAAACACACCTACCTCTGCTGAAACTTAAAATGCCTTAAAATGTGTTGACCGCTTCTTATATATATACAAAAACTAATACTTGAAAATTCACCTCATGCTCACTAGCGACTGGCCCTATTCAGATAGGGACCTGGAGTTCTAGTGGGAAGCTGTGACCAGTAGGGTGATGATGCAGTAACTTATCGAAGAAGACATTGTGAAGTGGTAGCGCTATGTCGTGAATTCGCAAAAGTTAGAATTCATGGGCTGGCAATTCAATCGGATCCCAGTGACTTAATGGTCTACGAACTAGCTCGCCTTGTAACCAGAGGGTCCTGGGTTCGACCCCCGGTGGTTGAGTGCGTATGATAAAGGGTCCCATATTGCGGCGAAACAGCTGTCCAGTACTCCCTGCAGGTTTTCTAATGGTTCTCGAACTGATATCAGCTCATGATGAAATCTCCCAACCAATCAAACTAAATTCCTACAAAAAAAGCCAATAATTGAAAAATCGTTATCGTCTGATTAAGTTGTTTATCCGAACTTCTTATTTATTTCTTCCTACTATTATGCTTTCGATCCCCATTTGCATCACATAACTTCATCTTATTATTCGTTATATATATATATATATATATATATTTGACGTCAGACTGGGAATAGTTCTGATACTCATTCTCAACCCACCCACCCTTTATGTTATACACGAAAGGTACAGCCCAAATGATGATGATTCCATCAGGAAGAAAAATCAAATCCTATAAAAACACTACTCACCACCTTTGGGTTATTATTACGTAATAGTTAAAACTATAATACAGCTAAGCATAACCAGCCAGAAAGTAAACATTCATTATCACACGCGTTACTATGCCTACACACCTCTGATTGCAACATTTTGGAATATATTTCACGAACTATAAATATTCCATGTGTCGAAAACTTATTATCTTCTTATGATTACACAAAAGAGACAGATATATACATTCGTATGAGCAAACTGGGTGCATCGGTGGCGCAGCGGTAGAATGCTCGCTAACCACGCCACCACGTGGTCCGGAGTTCGATCCTCGGCCACAGACACACTCCTTTACCTCGCTCGCCAAACCATTAATAGATCTGGTAAAGAGGGAAGGTTGGGCATGAGGCTAGTAACCCTATCCCGTAAGAATAAAACACCACTGTTACCGAAACTTCAAACCTCTACCTTGGAGCCCCATGTTCCACTGGGAACGTGAAGGAGATGTCATAAAAATGGGCTTATTTCAAGAAGAAGAAAACAAGATTAAGGGATATTTTTTCTCTGAGCGCCAAGAAATTATATAAAAAGGTAGGGATTATTAGATTAGATTCTGTGCTAGTGTCAATGTTGGTGAACATTGAATAGTTTGCGCATCTGAACTGGTCTCCATGTTGGCGGGTGACAAGAAGGCAACTGTCATTTCTTAATTGTGTACTGGTTGGCAGGAGATTGGAGAAATATTATCAGTAGTATTGTTGTATATTATATTAACGTTTATTTACAGATTTCAGTACTGATTAACCACTGTAAATCTGTTTCTTTATCGTTTGAAGAATAAACACAATCGTGTTGCCCAAATCGTTTTCTCTTGTTCCGTGCCAGTTACAGTGCACAGTGATCTACGTATTAAGCATTCAAACCTACAAAATCACCCAGGTAGGACAAGCTCTGTTGGCTAAAAGACCCGGTGGACCCAATTAAACAAAATAATATAATTTATAAAATACCCTGAAATGACTGTGACTAAGGTCAACTATATAGGTCAAACTAGTAGATCAGGGGTAATCAGATTGTCGGAACGTAAAAATAATTTAGGTAAGGTAAGAATGGTTGACCTCGAGAAGAAGCTCAGCAATCACAAAACCACACAATAGGGTGACATAGGGTTAAATTTTTAAAAAGTATTCTATGTAGGTGGGGAGAGAGATTGATTATTGAATCCTGCCTGATTCATTGAGTCTATACCCAACACAACACATGCAACAGAAATGGCTCAACGCGAATATCAGAGATATGGAAGATATTATCACCACCAGTCAGTCAAATCAGAAGTGGATAATAAATAATCTCAAAATTCTATTTCAATTCAATCACATCACAACATTCTAACAAGTTATTTATTATAACCATAAAAAACATTCGTCTTATTTCCCATCTGATTGTAATTGATCAATAACACTCGTATTATTATTTCTGAATGTACATTATCTCATATTGAATTTTATTCCAATATCTAGTCGATTCCACAGATGTATATAAATAAAGTTGTGTGAGTAGTGACTTGATATGATTATGAGTGGCAATAGTTTGTGCTCGAAACGTGGTCATTAGTTAATATCACTGTATAAGAGCACTATGTGATTTATCAAAATAAAGTGTTATCCATATTGGAGTTATACTCTACCACCACAGTGCCCAAGTTTTATACACTTATATTAAGCTAATTCTTCTGTCGCCAGTGATCTGGATATTTGACAGTTAGTTTAAATCAAATCCACAATTTGCAATTTTCCTTTGGAAACTAAGTTATTCAGATCACCGCAATATGTGATCGCCCTGATACTGCATAATTGGTAGTCAAGAAAGCAAGCATATTGGCATATAACTGTATACTACTACTAATTGGTTGAAATGAGTAGTAGCTGCATACACCACTCATATCATTAACCAGTAGTGTTCGCCAGCCAGTTAGTCAGTCAGATTATCGAAGTAATCTAAACACCAAACACCCACTTCTTTCGTTTAGGGTTGACCAAGCCAATCACCGGTGAACCCAGTTTGATTCAGCTCACACACAGCCGAATCAGATCAAACTTGGTTGTACTGGGCAAATTCACAATGTGCAATCTACACACTGCGCGAGTGGTGGAATTTCGTCGATCCGGATAGCAAGCACTATTTGTTGATATGAGTGGGTGTGCAACTACTCATCTCAGTTAAGCAGTAGTATATAGTCTTGTATATCCATAATAGTAGTTTGTTTATTATATCCACATCATAGGCTTCTAATTCTCTTCCTCAGTATGGAAGTTCCTAGACATCTTAGACAGGTGTGTGTGTGCTTAAAATCATACCTGTTGCACGTATTCAAAGATAAACAGATAAAAGAAGCTTTGACTATCCAATCTTTTCATAAACCTTGTTAAATTCATTATAGATAAGATTTTATTTTGATAAATCGCACAGTGTTTACAGTAATGTTTACTGATGACGTTTCGAGCACAATTTATTGCTCATAATCATATCAAGGTAATCACACGACTTCCTAAATTCATTTATATAGTTCCATTGTTTTTCTCTTGATTTTCACTTGATTTGATTGGTAATAGTATTTTCCATATTTCAGGTATGAGTGACGAGTCATTCCTATTGCATGTGTTGGGTGTAGACTCGATGAACAAGGATTCAGTAATCAACCTCTCTCTCCACCTACCTAGATTACTTTTTAGAATTTTAACCCTCTCCCACCCTATTGTGTGGTTGTGTGTTAACGCATGCATTGCAATTGCTGAGCTTTTTTCTAAATTATTTATCTTCTCGGGGTCAACCATTTTTACCTTAGCTAAATTTTTATGCTCTGACAATCTGACTACCCCTGACCTACTAGTTTGACCTATGTAGTTGACCTCACAGTCATTGCATGGTATTTTGTAAATAATATTATTTTGTCTAATTGGGTCAACTGGGTCCTTTAACCTACAGAGCTTGTCCCTGAGTGAGTTTGTAGGTTTAAATGCCACCCTAATTCCTATTTTATTCAGAATCCTACGTAGTGTCTCAGATGTCCCCTCTTTATATGGTATAACTGTGGATGACTTATATTCTTTCTTATTTATGTTATTATTACTAGTTTCACAATTATTTTTATTTTGTTTTTGGCCTTTAATGATCTTCCTAATGAATTTTATAGGATAGTTATTCAACACCAACGCTTCTTCTATCTGTTTTAATTCATCATTTAGATCTTTTTTTGTGCTACTTAGTGCCACTGCTCGGTTTGTTAAACATTTAACTAAGCCTGCCTTAACAGTTAAAGGATGAGACGAATTAAAGTCTAAATATCTATTAGAATGCGTTGGTTTTCTATAAACACTAGTGTGTAGTTTGCCTTCTTCTATTCTTTTTATCTTACAATCTAACATAGCTAATTCTCCTTGTTCATTTTCTGATTCAAATGTGAATTTTATTCCCTCAACTTGTGAGTTTATATGTGTCAAGAAGCTAGAGATGTGTTCTGTTTTTAACACTGTGAAAGTGTCATCCACATATCTCCACCATATTTTCGGAGTAGGGTTAAATGTATTGAGGGCACTATTTTCCCAGCTGTCCATAAATATGTCTGCTACGATAGGGGATATTGGTGATCCCATTGCTACACCTTCTGTTTGTCTATATATTTTGCCTTGGAACTTAAAGATAGTAGATGTGAGGCATAACTGAATCCCTAAAATAATTTCTTCAATGGACACTACTGAATCCTTGTTCATCGAGTCTACACCCAACACATGCAATAGGAATGACTCGTCACTCATACCTGAAATATGGAAAATACTATTACCAATCAAATCAAGTGAAAATCAAGAGAAAAACAATGGAACTATATAAATGAATTTAGGAAGTCGTGTGATTACCTTGATATGATTATGAGCAATAAATTGTGCTCGAAACGTCATCAGTAAACATTACTGTAAACACTGTGCGATTTATCAAAATAAAATCTCATCTATAATGGAATTATACTCTACCACAGTGCCCAAGTTTTATACTTGTTAAATTCAGTTTAAGGACTGTAACCTCGTCGTCTCAGTGTATTGTATAGTTGTAGTACATGGCTGCACACAGTGACTACATCATTACTAGCGTTATTTTTTTTTTGAATGCTTATTACATTCACCCCATAATAAACATTTAGAAAAACCTGCGCCCGGCTTAAAAGATGTTTTACATAGCCTATATAATATAACAAGTATGGTACATAATTCTAAGTAGCAAAAGAAAGATTTTGATTAGTAGATGTCGACGCACAAGATATTACTATTATTAGTATTATTTTAGAAGATATTTTCAGACTACATTAGCCTGTTTTTTTTCACGATGATATTATTTTCCACCACTAGATCATAAATTGTCTTACGCCAATTCCATAATCGATTCGTGGTTGTGTTTGCAACAGACTGTCACTTTCATGTCACTTAAATGACCTAAAAGGCATTCCACTTCACCATCCACGTATTAGATTCATCAGATTGATACTTAAAAGTCATCTCACTGTGAGCATCTTGTAATACTTTCCTCCTCCACCCAACCCTTTATATCAACAACCTAGAAACTCTTCTAGCCAACCATACTGTTATTTGAAGACATAAGTAAATGCTTTTCGAATTGTAATACAGCTCAGACATGGTTCTATGTCAGTCGGTACGTGTGATTCCATTTCATCGAGTAACAAACAGACAACAGAATTTCGTACAAATTAATCAATATCAACAAATTGTAAATGATCCTCGTTGCGCAAGTAATTTAATCGACAAGCATGACTGGCTGTGAGTGACTTCTCCAAATACTCATATCACAGTCAGATTAGTCTGAGAATGTCTATGGAACCCCTAAAAGTTTAAAGTTACATTCCAATATATGTGTTTATGAAGAGTCCAAAAGGAAAAAAAGCGTTCAAAAAGACTTATTTATACAACTGAGGCCAAAGTCAAGTAATCACGATCCATGGAATGCAAAAACACGAGTGAGCTTGAGCTGATCAATCAGAGAAACCGGTGGTATTTACATTGAAAAAATGCCTTTGATTTACAAAAGAAATACATGAAAACAAATTAAACGTGATCCTTTCTCTGATAAGACTTAAAAATATGTCCCAATTATAATGAGGAGTGTCAGTTTTTAAGTTGAACTAGTTTCTCTACATGTATCTATCAAGATGACTGAAAATGAGTTCCTCTTGTGACCTGTTTATTCTTATCCTGTTTTTCAATCTTTCCTGGAAGTCCTCGATTAAAATTGTTACAGATCCCAGTAAGTCGAAGTAATCATCAGAATGATTCACTCGATAATGGATAAATCTCATATCTGACAGATGTTTGTATCCCGTCCATTCGCCAGGAATGACTAAGGTTTGCAAAAATGTTAGAAGAACGTATGCACTACGACTTGGAATTACCTCCACAATTCACTTCTTAAGTTTCGTGTCGTAAATTCTTAATACGCCCTAGAGTGACCATAGTTATATTACTTTTTTATGAGAACTATTTCATCGATATGAATAATAACACCAACTCCTCCTAACAGCCACGTGACAGTATTTATCTTCCAAGATGCTGCTACATCTCTGCAATCTTGGAACCCTTTCACAGTAGATACTAAAGAGTTTGCCGTCTCCGCAACCGCTGACCTCAAACTCTAATCCTTAATACCCAATAATGGCAGATAAGAAGTATATTGATCAGCGGTGGTTTCTATTTAAAAAAGAAAGTTTCTAGAAAAGATTGACGAACATTCAATCTCTTTTCTAACACTGTGTACTACCTAAAGAGATTTCAAACACCTGCTTCTGAACACAAGTAAATGTACACAGAAGCAACACAAGAGCATACACGGCTACCGTGCTATCCACCCCGTTGTCTGAACACTACTTAAAAACGTGACCGAGGTGAAATTTTCACCTGAATAGCGTGAACAGCGTTGATATTGGCGTTGTATAATAATGACACATCCCATTCGTTATCCAACGATGACGACTAGCATACATTAAAAGTCACTGGTGAGTTCATCCCTCTGAATCATGATACTACTTTATCACTTGACCTTATTGGGAATTAATGAATGTGAACCACAAAAAATTCTGTTATATACATGATGAGAACGACAAAACTACTTTATGCCATCTTTCAAAATGACAAGAATAAGCTCTGATTTAAACGCCGACGTCGTCCACGACGACAACAACAACAGCAATAAAAACAAAAAAATCACAATCCAACTTACTTTAATTGGCTTGTAATAATCAGGACGTCGTTTTCTGCCTAAAAGTTTAGAGAATTTTTCACGTCTTTTGAGCCAACCACGTGCAGCTTGTTTGATTGCAGCATTATAAATAAATTTTCTGCGTCGAATCACAGATGGAGGTGTACGTTGATTAGGTAGAAGTCCTGTATTACAACTACTTGAATTCTCATCATTTAAATATCGATTTCTACGTGGTCTTAAATATGGATAACGTGATAAACGGCTGTTGTTATGATTATAGGTTGACTTGTGAGCTGAACTTGTAGTATTGGAAGATTCAAATGAATTATTATTACTTGATTCGGGTGTCTTAATAATGTTATTATTATTATTACTAGTAGTTGTATTAGAAGTATTACCAGTATTGTTAGTACTATCCTCAACAAGAAAATTACTGGGATTCAATTCTAACAATGGATCCTCATCTTCACCGTCATCCTGCTTTTTACGACGATTACGATTAGCCCGTTGTTTGGATGATGATGATGATGAAGTGACCTTTTTCCTGACAATGTAACTCTCTTCACCACGTCCAGATTCAGTAGATTCGTCGTCATCGTCGTCACTTGAGCTTTAGAGATGGGAAAAAAAGGATATAAGAAACCAACGAACTAACAACCATTTGAATTATAAACACATACTGACGTGTTTCAATATAGAACCCTGGACATTTGTGCAGCATACATACTAATTTATTTAGTGAGACGGCTAGAGATACTGCACGGGTGCCCATACTGAAGCACGTGGGACCACCACCCACACATCGCCACCGTCCACCGAGCCTTTGACATGTAGTCTCATCCACAACAACAGGGTAGAGGAGCAGCAATTAAGTAGTGACGTCAACCACACGGATGCCGGTGACCAATACAAGTTCACACGCCTGGTCAATCCATTTCGACACCAAATAATATCTCCTTTCATACAGTCTTAACGCTACCTCCAAACAATCATACTAGCACGATACGACCTACAGAAGTACAAGTTCCATCCAGTGTAGCTTGTTGGGTCACTGTAGTACGCAAGCCCGACCACCAAGTCAAGGTAGCAGTTATCGGTCGTGAAACCCATATTGTAACGGGATAAGACAAGAGAATTGGCAGCGGGATGTTTATTTGCAATTTGATATATACAAATATCGGAAAATAATGTATGTATCCCATAGATTGAAATCGTCATTGTTGTGTTACTTCTATCCTGAGTATTGTATTTTTCTGCCTTCTCCTCGTGTCTCCCATGTTTCACAGCAAAACTGGTTCATTTGCTCTCTTTAACGTCAAAACAATCTCTGCACTAATTGAGATTTTAGTGTCGAACGTTTCTGCACATACTACTGGTATATCTTGTCAGTAGCATAATCCACAGAAGAAGTAAATAATTTATACATACCATATTTTTAATTACTCCTTGAGTTGTTTCAAGTAGAATATATTTTTATCAGAAATCTTCAAATGTTTGGTGTGCAGGACAAGATTGTACGGAAATCGTTCCCAATGGTGCAAATGAATTTCACTCTTTTTGATCTCCTCCCTAGATCCTCCATTAAATCCGCATAATTTTGCTTGTTGATATTCTTTCTCCAGCACACAGTTCCACCCATTATAGTTCTTTTGAATTTTCTATTTGTTTCTTTTTTCCTACTCTTGTGTGCTACATAGAGTGTAGCAACCTGAACTACTGCACTCTTCTTTCTAAAGTTCTATTTCGCAGTTTCATCAACGATGCTGTTGTTTTCTTTTTGGCTTATTTTTCACCGGGTTACTAGCCCCACTCACGCCCAACCTTCTCTCATTTCTGGTCCTATTATTACTTCCCAGTAAAATAGAGCTATTGCAATTGCGTCAAGCTGAGCCTCCGTTATGAGGCTGTCGAGTATTCCTACCATTGGACCACTGACATATATATATATATATATATATATATATATATATATATATATATATATATATATATATATATATACCACTATTATCATTAATATCGTTTCTTTTAATTTCTAGAGGAACATAGGGAGTCAGCTGCAAGTCTCCATTGCGTTCGGTTACCCTCCAACGTTTCCACATGGCTCCACGTCTGTCCACATGCTTTCACCTCCTCTTCACATCACCTACCCCATATCACCCTCGCAGTGACGACCAACTCGTAGCTTCCTATTCAGGTTCTATTTGAGCGATGGCCTGACGTGTGATGTCACTCACTCGATGGTTTGTTTTCTCAGAGTATTACTGATCCATCTCCATTTCTTCTTACTGAGTTGGTTCGTTCCTAGAAATCCCTGTTGCTGATCTTTTTTGGCCATCTGATCTTGAGTGGTATTGAGCGAAGACAACTGTTGGTGAACGTCTGTAGTTTGTTCGAAGTGCTCTTCATGATACTTCAAATCTCTGATCCATCCGTATAGTAAGCAACACTGACTTGAAATTGGAGATGAAAATCCGGATCTTAATTTTCATGTTGAGTGCTGTTGACCTCCACACAGACTTCAGAGTAATGAAATCTTGCCTTGCTTTCCCCATCCTCGCTTTGTATCCATATCAGTTCTGTCCGCCTGTAGTTAAAACGATACTTCGCATGTCGGCAGGTAAAGTAGGTTGCTTCTTTCAGATTTCTTCCATTTATACTGATCGTTGTCTGTTGTTGTTGCTGTGGGTCAGGAATCTTCATCACTTCTGTTTTCTCCATGTTCACCTGAAGTCCCTCCTATCTTCGATGCTTCTTCTGCCAACTTGTTGCTTTTCACTTGCACATCTTCCAATTTGTGGGTAATCAGACATATATCATCGGTGAAGTCCAGATCCTCCAAGTTTTTGTGTGTCCATTTTATGCCTGTCGCGTCGTTGACCACTGTCTGTCGCATTGTCCAGTCTACCGCAATCAAGAAAATCATTGAAGAAAGTAGGCAGCTTTGTCTTACTCCCGTCTTTTCCGTTGTGGATTACCTGGCACGCAGCTTTGTCGAACAACTGCTGGATGAGATGTATAATTGCCGGCGGCAGCCAGTAATAGCGAAGTATTTGGCAAATCACCTCTCGGTCAACGCTACGCTACCGAAGGCCATTTCAAAGACATTCAAGTTGAGATAGAGACTGCCATGTTCAATGATGAACCATAGTGTTGCGATCTGATCGATGCATGACTAGTTCCTGCCGAATCCAGCCTGTTCCGGTCGAAGTTTTCATCCAAGTCGGCGTGTTTGATTCTCTCCAGGATGATGTGGCTTAGTATTTTGCTTGGGATAAGCAGGAGCATAACGCCGCGCCAGTTCCTGCATTGTCTTAAATCTCCTTTCTTTAGCAGTTTGAATAAGTATCCATTCTTCCAATCTACAGGTACCTTTCCCTCTTTCCCCAACTTCTCCAATAGTGGTGTCATCAAGTACGCTGATGTTTCTGGGTCACACATACCACTACAATATAAAAATTATGTGTATGGCCTATAATGCTTTGAATGCAGTGACTCAAGCATTTATGAAATCGGGAACAATACATGCAGCAGAGTGAAGTACTCAGTTATTAACTGTAAACTTGCATAATTTATTGTCCGTTGAATACTGGATTCATCAAAAGAAATCAAAACAAATGGGACCAAGAATACTGATTTAGGTGAAAAATCATGGGCCACAGAAAATAACTAACAATAAAATACTAGTTTGGTCTTCAGTTTACGCTGCAGAAATATTCCCTATAACGACTTGATACGGTCGAAGATGAGTAGACCTTGGACTTCCCCTCTTGAAATACACTCATATCACTATGCGTTCACAACCTCTAACAGATAAGTCTCGTGCTCACTGCTTTCACACGACTCAGGTGTTCTCCTCATGGACTCCAAAAACCATAGGAACGTAGCTCCAGACGCTGCTGCACAGCCTTTTGCGTAGAGATCAAACTTCAAGTCAAAGGTTGGGCTAGATTTCCGGGCAGTAACCCAGTCCCCGTACAAACTACGAGTTTTCGTGTGGCACATCTCTTAGTGCCAGCAATTTAGAAATACTAAATGGGGTATGACTTGTATCAGAAACTACCTCAGCAACACTAATCGCCACTACAATGACTATTGGTCAATTAGTAGGGGAGAAAAAAAACGAATGACTTCAGAAAACATAAAAAAACACTCATCACTAAGCATAAAACTTACCTAGAACTACTTCCTCTTCGTTTATCATCACCTTCTTCATATGGAAATAATCTAGCACGTGTTGTCAATAGATAAACAGGACGTGAATGTTTTGTTGAAAGACTATTCGTCAAGCCATATAAACGAACAAATACTGAACCGAGGATATTATTAGATGTAGGCAATGTTGGATTACTTGTTGGTTGAAAATTAATTGCAAATGTTTGACTGTTGTTATTATTGCCATCATCTTTTACAGAATGTTTATTTGTTGGTAAATGTTGAGGATGAACTAATTCACCTGGCCACCAATACATACCAGATGTAAGCGAAGCATATTCATTAGGACGAAATACTCCCGGTAAACGATGTGAATTATACGCAACAGATAATTTTAAACAACGTTGATGATACGACTGTAGACTTGGTGGTAAACGTGCCCATACAATCTCACCATAACGCAGCATTCGACCATTTGTACAATCTTCACAGATAAATTTATCTGGTACCTAAAATGAATACAATGAACACAAAAAGCATTGTTATTGATCCTTTAGAGAACTATTGGAAAACCAGCTGGGAGTGCTGAACAGCCTGATGTTTCGACTCAGTTTCAGACTCTTCAACAGTACCCGACCACTCGCCGGAGTTCGAACCCAAGACCTTCTGGTTACAAGGTGAGCTCATTGGCGACTATTGTTTATTTAGCTATGTTCTATAAACAGTCTGTCAGTAGTGGTTCAGCAGTAGAATTTTCGCCAACCGCGCACATGTGGTCCACGACTCGATCCCGCTTCGACGCACTCCTAAACTTCACTAAGCTCACAATAGGGCCGGAAAGAGGGAAGGGAAGTTTGTGCGTGAGGCTAGCAACCAGACCCAATGAAAATAAACAAAAACACACTGCTATCGAAACTTCAAAGCTCAGGCTACTAACATACTAACGTCCAGTATATCTCTTTATGCCTGTTTTTCGTACAGTTATAAGATGTTTGATAATAAATCACTCAGCTGCCGACTGATATTTAAGTTATGGCGTAAATCATTTACATCTTTTTGAAATTTTTTTCCATGAGAAAAACTACTGAAAAATAGTAATAAGTTACTACAGAATCACCTTCTATACGGGTCAGAAACTTGCACTACACGTCACAGAAGGGATTTCCAACAATTTCGAGGCTTTTATCAACAGTTCCACCCCCCCCCTTCACTAGCTGGCTGCTCCATACTCAAGATTAAATGGTCAACGGGAAAGAACTGCCGATAAGAAACTTTGGCAACAAACCAACAGGCGAGAGCCGATTGCTCAACCGAGAAATATGTAGGAGAAAATGGAGATTGACTTGGCACACACTAAGGCGGCCGTCGAATGATATCGTGCTCAGTGCAGGTCATGGCTTGAGTGGGTTTTCAGTTGAGGGTGATATGGAAGAGATAGTGTGAGTTGGAGGAGGAGGAGGTGAGAGATTATGGACAATCGTCGGCCCAAACAGATGAAGAGGACGTCAGAAAATAGAAAGAAGTGAAGTTGTGTTGATGAAGTCATAAGTTTCACTTGGAAGCCAGGAGAATAATAATAATAATAAAGTACATTACAAGATCATCACCTGACTTGTAACAAAATCCGCTTGATTGGTTTAAGTCTCGAAATTGATTGATTGATTGTTTGGAGACTGCTCACTTCAACGAGAAGTGCTTGCCACCCCCCACCCTAGACCAAGATGAACTAACTACAAACTACTGATTGATTGATGGAGATGGACTAGCTGTATACTATTTGCACCAACCAGTAGTAATCATCAGTCATATCGAGATGATCTAAACACCAGATAGATGGCCGTTTTGCTCATTTGAGGCTGAGCTCACATCAGCGGCTTACTCGCTCTGGACTAACTGAGAGAGCCAAATCAGTAGTTAGCTAAGAATTGGGAGATCTGAACTAATTCGGGTCTCTGGGATAAGTAAAACCGGCCGACCTTATACTCCATTTGGAACGTAATGGAACAAATTTTTTTAAAATAAAAGTTCCATAGATGATCAAAATATATGTATATTGATGCATACCTAAATCGACTGTAAATCAAAGTCTAATCAAGTATACTACTTAATAATTCCAATCGACTTTCTATGGATGAATACTGATGAGAGAAAAAACATACATGATCCACTTTTCAAAGTACTAATACATATTTTGTGGTTATTTAGCTGACATTACACCTTTAGCATTTCCAGTGAGTGACGGTATTCTCAGTGAGACTCGAATCCATCACACAATGTCAACAAATAACAGTTGATACCTGTTGCACAGGTGCATGACTCTTGTGGGTTGTTTAGTGGATAAAGCTTTGACGTTTGAAACTACGGGTGTTAAGTTCGAGGAGGGGGGCGGAGATGCAGGTATATCCACATAATGTACCTCAAAAATAGGACAAAATGCCACTCCTGGATACCATTGTTAATCATCATATGGATCTCGAGACATCGTTGAAACATCATCGGTTCTACAAGCAGAAACGTCAACAGAGATGGAGCATCGCCGGTCAATCTAATCAATCAACAGGAAAGGCAACTTAACTGAAAGAATATTAAGAGAATTAACATCGCACTATTCTACAACAACAATACAACCAATGCATACAAATGACAAGAAGCAGAAAGCGAGAGAGAGAAAAGGCAACGGAAAACAGAATTAGCTATTTTTTAAATTTAGATAATAAACATTAGTCTTCTTTCACCCGTTAACCTACAGGTATCTTTTGACCATAATAGACACCTGACCATTTTGACGAAAGATTATCCAGACAGCTTTAAAAAGGTCACTGACACACAATTTATATACTGAATGTAAAAACAGGATGTTTAAGAAAACCACCAAAGTTAAGGATGTCGGCGGCACTTATGGAGCTCCGTGCCAGCGAACCGACAACGGTGACCGTCTCCTACAGTTCTGCTCTGATAATCATTTGTTTCTTGTAAGCACTAACTTTAAACACAAGGAAAGACACTGTTTGACTTGGAGACCCCCTTCATCAAACCAACGCTGGACACAAATAGACCACATAGCAATAAGCTATCGTTGGCGTGGGTCGGTAGGAGATTGTCGCTCCTTCTGGAACACGTGCGTAGATACCGACCATGCACTGGTCCGCGCTCGGGTGTGCTTACGACTGAACGGACGTAGGAAACAGCTGGCGGTAAAACCATCACGTCCCCAGCTCGATCAGGAAACTAAATCCGTATTTCAGGAAGAACTAGCTAAACACATATCTGTGTTCGACAGCTGTGCTCACCCTGAAGAAGCTTGGAAAAATATCCAGGCAGCCATAGATACAGCTGTAAAAGCTGTGAATAAGGTAAACCCAAAGGTGAGTAAAAACCACTGGATCTCCACCGCCTCATCCGAACTGATAGATGCTAGAAGACTTATTCCGGCGAGCTCCGAATTCAATGAGGAGCGAAAGCTGCACAAGAGGAAACTTACGAAAAGTCTCCGCAAGGACCGTGAACAGTGGTGGGCGACAAAAGCCAAAGAGATGGAGAAAGCTTCGAGGATAGGCAACACCAGGCAACTCTTTGGACTCATCAGGGAAACGGGTGGGAGAAGACAAATCATCAGTGAGACAATCTCGGAAAAAAATGGCACTATAATTAGCTCCCAGGATAGACGACTGGATCGTTGGAAAGAGCATTATGAGGAGCAGTTTAATTTGCCCACAGCCACGCTCAACCTTCCGAGCATCCAACACCTCCCTGAATGGGATATAAACACAGGTCCTCCGTCACTAACTGAGGTTACTAAAGCTGTCACCAATCTGAAACTAGGCAAAGCAGCGGGACCTGATGGAATGACTCCAGAGGTATTTAAGTACGGTGGAGACAGCTTACTGTCCGGATTAACTGAGGTACTAGGCAGCGTCTGGGAATCAGAAGAAGTCCCATCGGGTTGGTGTAAGTCACTGATTATCCCCATATACAAGAAGGGAGACAAGTCTTCCTGTGATAATCACAGAGGGATTAGCTTGACTAATATAGTATCTAAAGTCTTAGGCTCAATAATCATGCGTAGACTGAGTGGTGCTCGGGAAGCACAAACACGAGAGAGCCAGGCAGGCTTTAGACCAGGAAGAGGGTGTATTGATCATATCTTCACCCTCCGACAGATTCTAGAACATAGGCATTCCTACCGGCGTCCAACAGTCATTATATTTCTTGACCTAAAGGCAGCATTCGACTCTGTCGATCGGGAAGTTCTCTGGAGATGCTTGGCTGTAAAGGGAATTCCAAGAAAATATATTGCACTGATTAAGGCACTCTACTCGTACTCATACAGCCAGGTGAGGGCTTACGGCGAGCTGTCATCTGAACTGATGACGACCAGTGGTGTCCGTCAAGGATGCCCATTATCTCCTTTTCTATTCAACTTCATCATAGATGTGTTAATGGACTTAACCCTAGGTGACTTCAGCGACTCAGGGATTGACTTGCTACCGGGAATAATCTCGTTGACTTGGAATATGCAGACGATATAGTCCTTCTAGGCGAAGACGCTGACGAAATGCAGAGTCTTCTAAACACCTTGAGCCGCAATCTACGAATGTTTGGCATGCGATTCGCTCCCGCCAAATGCAAGATGATGTTACAGGACTGGACTACATCGACGCCTAGTTTAAAAATAGGAAGTGAAGTGGTAGAGCACGTTGACCGCTTCACTTATTTGGGAAGTACCATCAGCCCCAACGGGCTGATCTCTGACGAAATCTCAGCACGAATACAAGGGGCTCGTTTCGCATTTGTTAGTTTACGCCGACTCTGGCGTAGACGAGATGTTCGACTATCGACCAAAGGGCGGGTGTACTGCTCATCAGTCCGCTCCGTCCTCCTTTATGGTTGTGAGACCTGGCCACTGAGAGTGGAAGACATGAAAAGACTAGCTGTCTTTGATCATAGGTGCCTGCGTTCTATTTCCCGTGTAAAGTGGCATAATAAGGTGAGCAACATTGAGGCTAGGCGTAGAGTTCTGTCTGTCTGGAATCAACATAGAACTTGGCACCGAAGTGCACCAGTTCGAGTTGCCACGTTCCAAATAGCACACAGAGGTAGACAAGAAGATAAGTGAAGAGAATCAATACAGTCTGACAAGTATACGAGTGAAACAGAATGGGTAATGGTAGAAAGGAATATGAAAGATTACAGAGACTGAATACATCTGCGCTGGCCATTGACAACGATTTTGAGCCATGTCACATATTGTCTCCAGCCATTGATTCCTAGAGTCCCGAGGGACCCAACCCGGAAGTCTGCATCTCCCTACCTGACCGACTCAGTTTAACTGTCAAGGATTTCATGGATTGATGAGGCCATGTTTTTGTTTGGCCACCACTGGCTCTTTTCCAACCTGAACCTATATCAGCTAGCAAAGCCCGTCGGGGGAGGCGGTGGTTAGGCATGCGCAGCACGTGACCTAGCCATCTTAGTCTATGTAACTTTATAGCCTCGTCGATTGATTTTC